TTCTTTAGTTATGAAATACTTGATTTTGTCTCCAACTACTAATATGCTTTGAATACTTATAGTATTGATCATTATTTAATAATCAATTAATAGACTTTTTGTAAAAACTAAAAAAAAAGCTTAATCTTTATATAAATCTTTAAATACAGGATTGGCTGTATCAAGCTTGTATCAATATTCCTTGAGCTTGTTCCAAACTTCAATAATAATCATCTCCAATTGATTTAAAGATTTGAAAATAAATATCTGGATTATTATCAAATACAAGTTTACTATAATATCACTTATTCTCGAGTATTTGGATTTCAAGTAATTCTATAATATATATACTATATCGTATTCGTTGACTAACGCTTTATCATCATTATTAAGCGATCTATATATATATAAAAATACACTAGCTTTATCCTTTAAATATACAGTTTTTCTTTTCAATATTGAATCTGATACATATTATTATAACACCTTCAATAATCAAGAAGACCTCAATACCATCAATCTCCATCCCAAGTTCTCCGATCCTCACATAATCCTAAAGCATAAATTCAATTATATAAAACCAATCCTTTCCTCTCAATTGTATTTTCATTTACCGAAACCATCTCTCATAAATCTCTTAAATAAGAATTGGAATACACTTGGCTTGCTCCTTGATATCATCCATTTTGATATCTATACAAAGAATTTGCAGAGTTTTTCCTTTCCTCCCCTTTTTCTGTATAAACAATATCACACAGATTTGTGATTGTAAATATATAAATATAGATAGCACCACATACTCTTCAACTCCACAAATTAGTAATGATAATCAATCGTAATACTATATACTAATCATAAGGTAATGCCACACACTCTTCAACTTCACAAACTAGATATAAAATAATACCACACACTCTTCAGCTCCGCGAACTGAATATAATATTGATCACATCAATTCTATCCAGAGGCCATACTAACCGGATCTCATAACCTATTAGAAGATTGAATAGAAGAGGCCTCTATATTGACTATATAGTTATACGTGTAAGCATATTGATCTCCCCGTAGTATTATATGAGGAGATCAATATGCCTGTCTATGGTTCGTCTAATCTAGCCCGTTTAGGTAGCCGTATTACTAATCACTACACGTGCTTAGCACCGGTAACTTCTATTCCTTTTAACAGCAGTGTTATTATATCTTTTGATAGGTATTGGAGCGAGTATTTTAATAACAAAGATAATAAATATCGAGGAGATTTGTTATAAAAGGGTTTTATCAATAATATATAGTTATTAGCTTTGGAGTCAATAAGGGCTTGAATTTGAAAAGCAGTTTCTTGTTTCGAAATCGTGTAGGAATAGTTATATAAGGATCTCTCATTAGTTTTTATAGATTAAGGTATTTTATATCTTTCAGATACTCTAAAAGGGAGACTTTTTCTAGAGTTTGTTTTTTGGGGGCTTTGTATTTATTACTTCTTCTTCCTAAACGAAATCCATTAAATATTGAATATCAGAAAGATTACTGGTAAATTCACCAAAAAGTTTATTAGCACCGATAATCTCTTGAATTCAGAAATCGAATTGAACTGGAATCGAATTTCTCACTAAACCATTAGATTTTTAAAATTAAGAATTATGATAAGGATTATTCGAAATAGGAATTATATTAAATCGGTAATTCAATAATAAACAGGGTAGAACGATATTTGCAGAATATTGTGAGATCTCTTGACTAATCTTAGGCATAGAGTATAACTGTTATAGAACAGTCGTACAATTACTAGTAAGGTTTAATCAGATGACCAACATAATTATATATTCCCTAGCTTTAATAGATCGATAATTTATATTATAAATTTGAAGGAAAGCTACATAATTATTAATACTTCAAAAACTAACGAACTCCGTAACACAAGTATATACTAATCTAATATTAATTTGATTTTAAAAGCCATTGAAAAGAGTAGAGCTATTTTAAATTTCGATAGTATTAACTAATTATCGAAATTTCTAATAGAATTCCCAAAATAACTGATTTACGTTTTATCTCAATATTTCATATTAATCTAATACCACTTATTACTTAGCCAAATCAATAATAATTTGTATAACAACTTCAATTAATCCTTATACATTATATTCAGAAAATAGATTAAAGAGCAGGAACTACAAGTAATTACAAGCTATACCTTCAATATTAACGATAATATAAATCCTGTATTGCCTTTTACTAATAAAAAACATATATATATTATTCCAGATTATATTCAATCAGATATTTCTATAGTTTAGATTTTAAAACTTTACCATCCAAAGTTTTCTATAAAATAAGGAATCTTTTTATTTTATAGAAAGTGGAGAAAGTTATATCTTACTTATTAAATATAGATTATCAAAAAGAGATTGAATTAGAAATAAGATAAATATCCTTTTTATATAAAGAATATATAATAGCTTTTATAGGATTTATAGGTTCAATTATATCAAAAACTGATTGATATAAAGCTTTCTAAGGAGTAGAGGATTGATTCCGAGAATTATTTTTAAAAGAATGAGAGGTATAAATATTATTGATTTCTAATTTTAATTCAATAATAATAGTATTTTGTTAAATAATAAGATTAAAAAGATTATTGGTTTAAACAAAAAGCTCTTTTTTATCTGGTTTTTTGTCTTTTTGTGGTATAATCATTCCAGAAATAAAAGAATCCGAATCTTTTTTGTTATTATTAAAAATAGCAAACTGATTTGAGGTTGAAATGGAAGGGCTAGTTTTTGTTTGAGGAAGAGGAGTATGTAATAGTCCTTTGCTTTGAAAGATTGTAATTATATTGGATTTTTTGAAATTATAAGAAAAAGTTTAAATATACTTTTTTGTAACTCTTTTTGATCTTTTTGAAGAATTGATATAAGAATTAGGGGATTGTTGTTGGTTAATTATCCTTCAAAAATGTTTCCTTATTTTTTGGTATAGATTCTTTTAGTTTATGTAATGTTGATGTTTGGGTGGTCTAGGAAAAGGTGAGATATTATTTGATATGCTGTCATTAGTAGAGACTGATATAAATGAGTTTTAGATAATATAAAGAATTGTTATAAAAGGATTCAATTCTATTTTAGAATCTAAAACTAAAAAAGAAAAAAAGAATAAGAAGAGAATTGTAAGGGCTCCGGACTATATATACCAATAAATCACATGCTAGGCTAAGATCCTAAAAGCTAAGTGATTGAGAAAGGAACCTGAAAGGGACTGAATCGTCACACAATAATACATATACAGTAGTACAACATACATATTACTTTAGAGCTTTATAATTCACTTCATTATAATATATTTTAGAAATAGCTCAAAGGGCTTACCATGATACTATCAATATGTGGTTATAAGCATCCTATCTGTTACAACGGATTAGTAACAGGCTGTAGAATCACTGACTTATAGGCTATAATGGTATTATAGACCTCAGTGATTCAGTTGCAGTATATTGGGGGACACTAGGTACCCAAGGAAAGCCTCAGGCATGTATATAATATTAGTCATAGAATACCCTAGAAACCTAGAACATAGTTCCTAGGATAGTAGGTTCTAGAAAAGATAGAATACAATAAGCAAGAAGGTTTTATTAGGATTAATAATATCCTAAAGGATTAGCCCCAGAACAAAAAAATAAATTAGGATATTAAGAGTTACGGGATTAGTATTCCGTAATGAACAGCTTAGGAACAACAGCGCTTCAAAAGCGATCGGCTATTCTAGTTGTTTAAGTAAAACAAAGATCTATATAAGGGAATGGGTTTCATTATAATGTAAAACTTTATGCTTAAAAACAATCATTAGTTTCATCATTATAGTTACAAGAATTGCAATTAGTTATAATCTTATTGAATTCCTACTTGAAGTTTAATTTAAACCACTTCAAGAGATCTCTAACCATTTCCACATAACCCTAGAGGCAGCTCCCGTAACAAATGAGTAATTAAATCGTCATGTAATATTTGTTACAATGGCGGGGGAAGAACTGGGGAAATGTAAGGACTATCTAGCAAATGAGGAATATCTTGCCAATCATAGGGAATCTTCTACCGCAGCTATAATTCGTCACAGACAGACATCGCAATCTGGATTATCCCGGAGATGATATGAGGGCTGCCAGAGAATCCAAAGTTCGGGAACTAGCAAGACTTTACTCTAAATTCAAAGGACTCCGCGTTTGACCCCGATTTTATCTTTCATCGCCTTTTATAAGTAAATCGAAGAGGGAAAGGAAGTATAGGCGTATGCCGTAGTAACGGTGATACGACCATTGAGGCGCAAGTTGTGCAAGTTCGTGTAACCGTTATTCGACCGGTCGCTGCGCTAAAGCTGATGATAAAAGAGGTTTGCGAGTTGGAACTATTGGCTGGAATGTGATAATATCGTAAACTGACCTCTCAAAATTGTTTATGGAGGCTGTATTGAAGCTGATCTGACGGTTGACTTGGTCAGGGAAGTGTCGCTTTGCTATTACCATCAGCTAACCATATTAGGTTAGGTTATCGCGTGGATTCTCGATAAGGAGGGCCTCGGAGTCGACCAGTGATAAATATTTGATGCAACGTGACCAATTAGTCGTAAACAGCCGTCATAGTGCTTGGCTGGGGAGGCGCCCTTCTCATGGCCGGCTGTTGATGCTCAAACAACGCATCATGCATTTGCTAGCAGCATTCAATTCGACAGAATTATTTACAACTTTATGATCATGCATGCTTTTCAGTAGCAAGCCGTTTATGGCGTCAAAACTATTCTCAGATGAGTTGGGAGACTGATGGAGCATCTCAAATCATTTCCCCGCAGATAAATTCTTGATATGCTATTTTCTATATACCACTATTCAATCATTTGAGTTTCTATTTTGTTCTTCCCTCTATGTGCTTCAATCATAGGATTCATACATGGCAACTCGTAACTAATAGCAACATTGCTTGCCATCCTCGTCTCTTAAAGTCTTTAGTCAATCATCAAATAAACCTCCCAAAATGCCGTAGGTACTCAACGCTCTCTTTATTTCCTATGAGAACAACCACTAACTTCAGAACACTATAGACCAGGACCCTGTTATGACTTCCAAAGCGGCCGTTGCCGTCGAGGCGCCTGTTGTCGATTTAACCATGATACATCGTCAAGCATCCCAAATTCACCAAGCACCACAATTCAACAGTTTCGCGAGGATACTGGACTCGAAGCGGCTTGCCGACAATGGACATACATGATTCCCAGAGCAAACACAACTTCCTCACGTTTTACAGCTACAGCTGTGGACACCAAAAAGTTCTTCCAGACGGGCTGGAATCTAATTGAGAGCGATGATGCAGGAATACGCCAGCACGTCATCACAAAACTCGGTGCAGAGACAGGACTTGCAATCATCAAGACTCTGACGGAACTTATGAATGTAAGCCAAAATGATGAAATCGTCATCTCAATATTTAGGGATAGGGCTCTTCCTTTCTACAGAATCATTTCACACCCTGATGTACTATCCTCTTTAATTCTAGAAACTGCTGTTGATACTGTGTACACCTTTCTCTTCGGTCCCAGTGGTAGGCGAGGTCTCCAAGTGTTCCGATTTACAGCAACTGCCCTTAGCGGAATGGTTTTGGAGCATTCTTTAAGCGACGAGAAAGTCTCTATCGCTGCTATAACATCAAGTCTCGCAGTCTTAGACCGGCTGGTCGAGACTAACCAGAGTGCCCAAGTCATCGAAGGCTTTACTGCTGTTATAGAGACAATATCTGCCTGCATTCCTAAGAATCTTATGGTGCCGAGTGCGCAACAGTGCCTCACTCGAATAAGACAACGTCTCAACATCGGCTCTTCTTTGCCCCTCGTAGTAACTCAATCGACTCCACAATTTTTCCTGTCTCCATCTTTCGAGTTGGCTCAAGACTTGCCCGGAAATCTTTCCAACCAGGGCGCTAGACACGATAATGACCATGCGAGTATTGGCGATATCCAAATACTCCCCACAGTGCAAGAGATAGCTTCCGCACGGCAAGAATATCTCCCATTAACCGGCTCGACTCAAAATCACCTGTCAGGTCTTGCCGGACTCTTGGACAAACAATTTCGGCTTCTCCGTGAAGATACAGTGGGCCAACTACGAGACGCAGTGCGCGAAGAGGCTACGAGATTAGAACATCCTAACGGTAAGGTATCAAAAACACACCAAGGTCAGCAAGGCGTTCGAAAAATTATCTATCACAATGCCCGCTTCTCCCGTATGAGTGTAGATCGCAGAAAAGGTCTGCAAGTCGTAGCAGAATTTGACCAACCTTCCCAACTCAACGGCAAATCCATTAAGCAGCGAGAAGAATGGTGGAAAGGAAGCAAGCTTCTGCAAGTCGATTCACTAGTTTGCTTCCTCTCTTCAGATGGCAAAATCATTTTCCTCTGCGTCTGCGATCCAATATTGCCGTCTCGTGCAAGGAAGGACTCTGATTCCAATGTCAACCCAAGACTTTGTGATATTACAAGCCTTTTCAAAGAAAGGAAGCGTGCGTCTGTGCTGCTAAGCATGGGTGAATATAAAGTGGAAGATGCAGTTTGGATCAGCACTCATATCTCAGCTTCCAAGAATCGGCAATCACTCGTTGAATTTCCGGGAGTGCTTTTACCTTCTTTTCAACCTACTCTACAAGCGTTGCAGGGAATGAGTCGGAAGCTGAGTCTTCCATTCACAGAGATCGTAGCGCCAGACTTGCAAGATTCTGCTGCCTCCGTAAAGCCTCCAGCATATGCTACTAGAAGAGGATTCAGTTTTTAACCTTGAAGTTCTCGCCGGCGTACCACTAACCCTGAAACCTGGACAACCATTTGATTTTACACAACTGGATACAGGATCTACACTTGATAGAGCGCAACAGTTCGCCGTTGTTCAAGCTCTTAGTACAGGATTAGCTCTAATCCAAGGCCCACCTGGTACTGGGAAAAGTTATACCGGTGTGGCAATAATCAAGACTTTACTCCACAACCGAGAGGCTGCTGACTTGGGTCCAATCATCTGCGTATGCTACACAAATCATGCTCTCGATCAGTTGCTAGAGCATCTGGTGAAAGATGGTGTAAGTCAAATCATCCGTGTAGGCTCACGATCAAAATCCGATTTACTTCAAAATCTCACTCTCCATCATGTACGAGGAGAAAGCAGACCCACGAAGACAGAAAAACATGACATATGGGAACACAATCGCGATATCGATCAAACACTACGACAGATAGAAGACATATTGCCTTGGTTGAATAATCCAAAGTCTTGGAAAAATATTCAAGCCCATCTTATGAGGACACATGATCGGCATTTTAAGGAATTGTTTGGGAAGGGGGTAGATGACGAGGGGTTCCAGGAAGTAGAAGGGAGAAAATACAGGTTGTGGAGAGTTGGCTTAGAGGAGCGTCAAAAAAAACCACTTCGAATCGCTCTGTAACTCAGCTTTCGGCCATTCCTCTTAGAGCAATGTCGGAGTCGGAGCGTAGTGTTCTTCACAAGAATTGGATCGAGCAAAGAAGTGCACAACTCACCAACGACCTTATTCATGCAATAGATTCCTACCATGGTTCCAAGTCCGCGCTGGATAAATGTCACAGCGAATTAGATCTTCGGTGTCTTCGAGAAGCCCATGTTATAGGCGTGACGACTTCTGGACTGGCAAGGAACATCGAGTTGCTCCAGCGCGTACGAGCAAAAGTCATGCTTTGCGAAGAAGCTGGAGAAGTTCTCGAAGCACATACTCTCACTGCATTACTACCCGGGGTCGAACATGCGATATTGATTGGCGATCATGAACAACTACGGCCCCAAATTAACAGCTACGAGCTTCAACATGACAGTCCCCGAGGCAAGAGATATTCCCTTGACATCTCACTATTTGAGCGTCTTGTCAAGCCACAGATGGGCAATTTCCAAGTACCATTGAGTACATTGAAGACTCAGCGACGAATGCACCCTTCTATCTCAGAACTAGTGAGAGTCCCGCTCTATCCGGACTTACAAGATCATCCCTTGGTATCAGAATATCCGCAAGTCGATGGAATGCGAGATCGCCTATACTGGCTTGATCACCAAGAGAGAGAAGATCCGCGGCCTGCCAATGCTGTTTCCTTATCTAGAACCAATACTTTTGAAGTTGATATGATCGCTGCTCTTGTCTCACATCTTGTGAGGCAAGGAACGTATGGGTGTGGAGATATTGCAGTCATTACTCCATATCTGGGACAGTTGCAGAAAATCAAGAAGCGACTATCGAATTCTTTCGAGATAGTTGTTGGAGATCGAGATCAAGAAGATTGGAAGTTCACGGACTTCAAGACGACCCGGAAACTTCTATAGATGGCCAAGTCCAAGTCCAGAAGACGACACTCCTCAATGCTTTGAGGATTGCTACCGTTGACAATTTTCAAGGAGAAGAGGCAAAAGTTATTGTCATCTCCTTAGTTCGGAGCAACGATGAGCGGAAATGTGGATTTCTGAAAACCTCAAATCGCATTAACGTGCTGCTAAGTCGTGCACGACATGGAATGTTCATCATCGGTAACTCCGATACCTCAAGGCCTGTTCCTATGTGGGCTAAAGTGCTCTCTATTCTAGAGCGCTCAAACAACATTGGCCCAAAACTTGCACTATGCTGTCCTCGACATATAGAAACATCCATCGAAGTCTCAGTGCCGGATGATTTCGCTCGGCTGGCCCCTGAAGGCGGTTGTGCTAAGAGATGTTCTTCGAGACTACTCTGTGGGCATTCATGCCCTAATATGTGCCACTCTAAATCCTTGCACACTGCAGTCCGCTGCCTCGAACGCTGCCCAAGAACAAAGGAAGGTTGTGAGCATGAGTGTCCGAGACCTTGCGGAGATCTATGCGAACCAAAATGCCAAGTCATATTGTTTGATATCTCTTTACCATGTGGGCACGTCGCTAAGCAACTAAGATGTCACGAGGCGCAGACACCAGCAGAAGTTCGTTGTCAATTCCAGATGGAACAAGTCATGGAGCATTGCAAACATAAAATACGAGTTCGTTGTCACGAACTGCCTTTACATTTTGATTACCCCTGTTCAGGCATCTGCCGAGCAGCACTGGCTTGCGGACACAATTGCATGTATGCTTGCAAAGATTGTAATACCAGGACTGACGGTGTGATCACTCAGAAGATACATGAAGTTTGCAAGACCCAGTGTGGAAGACCATACACAACCTGCAGTCATAGCTGCAAATCTCAATGCCATGGCGACATGCCCTGTCCTCTGTGTACAGAGCCCTGTGAAGTCAGTTGCAATCATTCAAAATGCAGCAAGCTTTGTAACGAGCCTTGTGCGCCATGTGCTCAGGATTGTTCTTGGTCTTGTCCACATCGTGGACGGTGCCTATTACCGTGTGCAGTACCCTGTGATCTGCTCCCATGCTCACAGCGCTGCGCAAATGTTTTGGCTTGCGGGCATAGATGTCCGTCAGTTTGTGGGGATAGCTGCCCAGGTGTTGCATATTGTCAGAAATGTGCGCACCCAGCAATCAAAGAAATGGTCGTTGACTTCATTTTATCATCCACTTTCGAGGAGGTCGATCTTGATGAGAATCCTTGCATCGTGCCTTCATGTGGACATATTCTCACCCTAGAGAGTATGGATGGACATATGAGCATGTCGGATTTCTATACTATGAATGGCGAGGGCTCAATCGTTGACTTGAAGAATAGTGCCGAACCATTCTCTGCCTCCGGAATGAAAAGCTGCCCAACTTGCCGTGGCCCTTTGAGAAACCTCAACCGTTACAGTCGTATTGTTCGTCGAGCATTGATCGACGAGGCGACAAAGAAATTTATCGTCTGGGCTAACATAGAGTTTATCCCTCTAGTCACCAGGATGCATGCAATTGAAGCAGAGCTCCGCGAGACTATTGGAGGCAGCAGGAAGGATTCCGAGACGGCATCGCCATTAACTCCTTTTTCAGAACCTCTTCAGTTGAAGGGAACTCTTGACCAACAAATCTCCCTGATTGGGAACCGTATGCAGAAAGAGAGCCGATATATAAAGATCATTGGACTTCGAAGAGAGATCAAAAAATTTCTTCAACAGGTCAATGAAAAAGAACAGCCCTTCGGTCGCATCTACGACCTCGTCCAAGATGCCCGTAGACATCGTGGAATCAATATCAATCTACAATCCAAAGTCGACGTGCTTCAGGTGCGCAGCCGAATTCTAACTAGGGTGTTGCTTATTAGATGCGACTACACCATCCTCCTAACTTTCCTCAATGATCAGAAAGGCGAGACTGGCGCAATTTCTCCCAGCACTCAGGTCGATTTTACTATCAACAGGAAGGAATGTGAACAGCTGATAGAAGAATCTGATACAAGACATCAACCAGGAAACTACGTTGAGGGCCTTCTATACTGGGCACGGTTCTTCGCCCTCGAGCGGAGCTTCGTAAAGCCTGGATCGGAGCTCACACAGCTTTTTCACAAAGCCATAGAATATCTTCAACTCGCACCCGATATTTGTGATGAATATCCCGGTCAAACTGCGGGAATGAAGAATGAAGTTGAGGGAGTTGAGAAGATGTTGCGAGATTCGACATTTTATATGCCTGTAAGCAACGAGGAAAAAGCTGCTGTGTATGCGGCTATGGCACATGACTTTAGGGGCACTGGGCATTGGTATTACTGTGAGAATGGCCACCCATTTACGATTGGCGAGTGTGGTATGCCAATGGAAACTTCTCAATGCCCACAATGTGGTTCCCCGGTTGGTGGTCATAATCATCAAGCTATTAGTAGTGTCAGACCTGCGACAGACCTGGAGCTTCAATTCGGCGGAGTTAGGATCTGATCTAAGAGACGTAGAGAAGGAGAGCTACAAGGATGATGAGACACACAGAAATGTTGTCGAGACCGTAATTTTCTGTTTGGATGTTACAAATTACAACGACAATCAACATTAGTATAATGCTTCGGTCCCTTTCTGAGGCCCTTTCGGATTCTCTTCTGAGCTGCCCTCAGCATATGACTTTTCAAAATATATAATCCCGAACTCTTATTGTTCTCTTTCTTTTCTTTTCTTTTCTTTTCTTTTCTTTTCTTTTCTTTTCTTTTCTTTTCTTTTCTTTTCTTTTCTTTTCTTTTCTTTTCTTTTCTTTTCTTTTCTTTTCTTTTCTTTTCTTTTCTTTTCTTTTCTTTTCTTTTCTTTCTTTCTTTCTTAGCTTTAGATTCTATAATGGAATTAAATGCATTTATAATAGTTCTTTGTAATTAATAGCTTTTTTTACCTAATACATATTATGAATATTAATATAGGATTAGTATTGAGTCAATTATTATTCTAATAAAAAAACTTATAGTGAACCGGGTCAGGTACCTTTATATTAAAATTCGAGTATAAAGATACCTAACTATTATTCCAAGGATTTTTTTTGGTGGTTAGCAATAATAGTAATCCATTTCAATAGAGAAATAATGATTTAGTTAAAAAGTTATCATTTCGTTATTACTCTTTTTGACTTCAATTTTAAACTTTTCAAAAATCTAAAAAAAAAAGATCTTCAAAATTTCAATTGAATTATATTTATTTGAAATCTAATTTCGATTATTTTTCGAATTGATTGATATATATAGATTATATCAAATTTTGATTTTAATAAGATTAAAGAAAAATTAGTGAAATAAAAAAAGATAAATTTTTAAAAAAAGAGATTTAATTATCATTTTTTATATTTCAATTTTATATTTTTTGAAAATTTGAAAAGAGGGATTTTTAAAGATTTAATTAAATTATATTTATTTGAAATTTGATATTGATTATTTTTTAAACTGATTGATTTATATAGATTATATTAAATCTCAATTTTGATAAGATTAAAGAGAGTTATAATGATTTGTAAAAAAAGGAGAATGATAATTTATAAAATAAATTTGTCGGGACTGGGATCACATGACTGCGCTAGCGCACGCGCTAGTGCCTCGGCACTACAATAGATAGGTTTCATAGTCTTAGCTTTTAGATCCTTAAGTAATATCACAATAATATGAGAATTATTAGTATTATATTGATTTCACTATTCTTATAGTAATATTAACATTGATTAGTAATATTATAGATTAAAAGCCTAACATCTTAAATTTAATTATGTTAGGTGTTTATAACTCTTGGAGGTTAGCTTTTATAATAATAAGGAATAGTATTATTATAATGATAGTGGAAGATCTAGTCAGTTTAAGCTTGAGGGATAAATCGAATATATAGAATAAGAGTTGAATTGAAGTCAATTTAGAAGAGCTAGGCTGAGTTGAGATGAATTGCTTGCTTTTTCCTAGATTTTCTTTAAAGATTGATTGATTGATTGATTGATTGATTGATTTAATTAACGTCCTTTTCTTAGTCCAAAACTATTTAGGATGGCTAGGCTTTAAGAACCTAACAACTGCTAGTGGATATCTACAATAGATATATTCAATTTGGGGGAGTAAAAACGAATGCTGGGGTGCTATACCCGATCTCTATTTGGAGTGCAAATAGAGATTAAATAATCTTCATCCTCTAAGACACTTTTTTTCTCACTCTTCCCCTACCCCTAATCCAATTAAAGTATTCCAATATCCAATTTCTCTTTTTAAAATCCTAAATCCAATTTGCTATTCCTTCCTTTCTATAAAAGACAAGAGTTATCCCCTTCCGAGTTGCCTCCAATATAGCAAAGGGTCCTCTTGTTAATAAGGTAGTAGAAAAAGGCATCACTCTTCTTTATCTTTATCTCTTTTAAACTAGCCTTTTGTATATCTTCATAAGTTTAATATCCTCCAGCTCTTATTAAATGTGTATAATCGAAATTGTTAAAAATAATAAGGCAGAACCGAATCCTAAGCCCTATTGCCTACATACAAATCAATTTGGAAAATTCGAAAATTCGAAAATTAAAAGAAAAACATTGTATTATATCGATGCCTAAAACATGATATTAATTTGAAGGCGATGGCATTCTCTGTATTATATCGTTGTAATATTTAAGTAGCTAAAAGCCAAAGAATATAAAAAAGGATTGTAGTATGAGTAGAGTGGTGGTAAGCTCTATATCGAAAAGACTCTTCTAAAGAAGAGACCTACTGCATATCATATTTCTATATTTGAAATAATAATCGATAATAGATATTGAATCTAACCAGAACTTCCATAACCTTCGTATCCACATCTAAAACTAATATTCAACTCTTCGTAGGTATTGTTGTTGTAAAATCGTAATATAATCCTTTGCTATATCTCTGAACCTCTCTTCTTTCAATTCTTCCAATTCCATCTGCAACTCAATCTTAGCTCTGCAGACTCTCAAGAGAGAGCTGGAGGTTCGTAGGATGCACCGCGTACAGGTGTTGAGTCTTCGCATCCCTTTCTTTAAAGAATATTCTAGGTTTATATAGTTTATAATGAAATTCCAGTATATTCTATGCTTATAAATAAGATCGATTTAAATCGTATCTTATAGAATCATTTTAGATAATAAAAAGAAAGTACAACCAATCAATTTAGCGATATTTCCTGTATACTTCCATCTAGTTCCATTTCATTCTATTCCATTATAAATCAATTTGATAAGAGATACTATTATACAACTATATGATAATATGATTTTATAATATAAGATCATATTATATGTGTATTAGTCATCAAGATATCTCTTATTTAGTAAGATATTAATAAGTGATTTAGTGGACTTATTATGAATCCTCACAATAACGATCCGGTTCCTTTCAGATTCTCTTCTTAGTTATTTAGCTTCTAGAACCTTAGTTATTATGTGATTTATTAGTATATATAGTTCGGAGCTCTTATAGTTCTCTTTTTGTTCTTTTCTTTTTTATTTAATTTTAAATTTTAAGATAGAATTGAATTCTTTTATAATAGTTTTTTATATTATTTAAAATTCACTAATATCAATTTCTATTAATAATGGTATACTAAATAATATCTTATCTTTTTTAGGTTATTTAAGTATCAATATTATATAAAGTAAAAGAATTTATATTGAAAGAGAAAAAAATATTTCTAAAAAATAATAAATAACAGTCTTTTAATCTTTATATTAATTTTTTAAGAAAATTAAAAGATTTATAAAAAACTTTTTTTAAATTTCTCCTCATAATTCTAAAAATTTAATATAATTATAGTTTTTCAAAATAAAGAATTACTATATATTTTGCTTATTTAAGTATTTATTTTATTTATTTATAGTAATTAACGTCTAATATCTGACCTCCCAAAGGGTATTCTAGACGTACTAAGGAGCGGGCCTACGGGCCGCTAGTGTTTCAGCCGCTTATAGTAGTGTAATGTTAGCTAATCAGGGACTTGTTGCCTCTAGTATTCCCCCACTCAATACCGCTCATGGCGATTCTACGGTTGTTCTGTTTAAGGGTTTGTAGTCCTATTTCAGAAAGCTTTATTTCGTATACCATCCAGATATCAACGGATAATCAGGTCGATCGTTATCGATCGGGAAAGCGCTCGGAGCGCTTATAGCTGATCAGTACAGATCTTAGGTTGATTGAGATAAAGAGCTTATCCTCGAAGTATTAGAACAAATTGGAATTCGCATAGTTTCACATAGTTTAAATATATCCTAATATAGAATCTGGATTTAGCGAAAAGGTTGGTAAAACTATATTGTATTTGTAGAATACGATTAATATATACTATTGCGTTTTATTCGGATCGAAGTCGATTTGATGCAAGCGGTCAGTCGCCGCGTATTTGATTATTGATTAAACATTGAAAGAAATACAGTAAGCTTTTCTCAATCCTGTATATACAGGTGTTTCGTGCTATTTTCGTGATTGAATCTGATGTGATAGGCTGCTGCTTATTTAGTAAAAAACTAGTTCTTTAATTTTAATTTCAAATTAATTTATTATTCTCAATAATAATAGAAAAGATTTGAATTCTTCTATTCCTGAAACAATTATTGTAAAGAAATAGAAGGTGATAGGGTGTGATGATTCAGTTCCTTTTGTCACGGGATCACCTCTGGGAGTATTCAGAAGCTTTACCGCTGAGCTAAACGCCCAAAAGACTAGGAGGTAGAACTGGAAGTTCTACCTTACTCTCATATATATAGCAGGACAGAACAGAACAGAAAGAGCTTAGTGTCACCCCGTGACACCACCCCCCTCCTTAAGGTATGATCTCCATACCATTATCTACTAGGAGGTTTCAGGATTCTGGATTCTAATGCCTCAGGCATTCAGACAGGCAGACAGGATCTATATATGCTAGCCCCCAAACCAATGAAGGCTTATAAGCTATAAATAGGCCCCCCACACAGCTCCACTTATAATCAAGGGTAGTTCTATCTAATGTCACGGGATCACTTCTGGGAATATTCAGAAGCTTTACCGCTGAGCTAAACGCCCAGAAGACTAGAAGGTAGAACTTCCAGTTCTACCTTACTCTCACATATATAGCAGGACAGGACAGGACAGAAAGGGCTTAGTGTCACCCCGTGACAAATAATAGCATTTTGTTAAGTAATAAGATTGAGAAGATTATTAGTCTAGATAGGAAGCTTTTCTTTATCTGGTTCTTTGCCTTTTTATAATATAATCGTTTCAGGAATAAGGAAATCCGAATCTTCTTTGTTATTATCAAGGACAATAAACTAATTTGAGATTAAAATGAAAGAGCTAGCTTTTATTTAAAGAAAAAGAGTACATGATAGTCCTTTGCTTTGAAAGATATGATTATATTGAATTCTTCAGAATTATAAAAAGAAGCTTAGATATATTTCTTTATAATTTTTTTCAATCTTTTTAAAGAATTAATATAAGAATTAAAGGATTATTGTT